AAGGAAAGGAAAGGGCCAGCCTGAACGGGAGAAGGTGCAGAGGAAGACGGGCTGTCTTCATTACATGGAGAATGGCTGAGTGAAGGGAATTCTACCATCCTTTAATTGCAAGAAAACTGATGTCCAACATTGCTTGAATGAGATGATGCAATTAAAAGAATTAAGGAAACCTTTGTGTTAACAGTTGTTTTCATTTGTTAAAAGATGCGTTCACCAAAGGGTGAACTTGGTGAGTTCACTGAGATAGGTTTCTGTCAGTCCTTGTGTTTCTTCTTTTCATGGAAGGTTAATGTGATCTTGAGTAAAAGGTTTCCTCCTGGGGGGAGGGGAGAATAAGAACTGCAACAGAAAGTTTGGCTAAGGGTCTGCAGCTGATGTTTTTTTCTACTAAGAGGAAATTGGGCTGCAGTGGCATTGTAACAGATTTGGAAATGCAAGCAGAGTGTTTGCAAATAGAAGCAAAGAAACGTTATGGTAGGGGCTTGTTACTCACAACCCAGAAAAGCCTCAGCTTCATGTATTGTATGAAGAACAAACTAATAACAGCTTAAAATGGGACTGGTTTTGTCTATTTTAGGGAGAGGGAGGAGGCAAAGGAGGCATTTGTCACCCTTATATGAACTCAATCTGTTCAAATTCTTTTAGTAGATGCCTTTCATAATAAATAAAAATGAAATTAGTAACAATTTCTTAGCATGATACCATTTAAAAAAAAAGATTCTTAACCAAATCAGACCATATAAACTCTGAGGAGGGGAATTGGGAAAAGGAAAGGAGACTTGTGGGTTGAAATAGATTTAATAAAATAATAAAAAACCCCAATATTAATAGCAAAATTCATATAAAGTACACAAAGTTATAGTTGGCTGATGTAGTAGTCGCAGCAAGCAGGGGAGTAGGCCTTGGGAGCAGAACAATGGCGGAGACTCTCCAGGGATTGCAGCCATCGAGGAAAGAGGACTGTCCCCAGCAGACTCCCCAGTTTAGAGTGAGCGTGATGTTTATGCTATGGGATCCTCCTGGTTGCCAGCTTGGGGCAGGTTTTGCTCCCCCCAGCTTCTGCACCTGCCTAACTCAAACTGCTAAAGACCTTGGTCACTGCTTACCAGTGCTGGCCAAAAGCTGAAAGTGTCTTACCAACTTTGTTCCCATGAAATCACATGTTGTAGTCTTTGTAGAAATGCAGCTTTCTAAATAGAAAACCGATTCTATCCCAGTGAAACCAGGACAGTAGTTTAAAGCACAAGGCATTAAAACCTTCCAAAAAGTTGCACTGCTTCTAAAAATCAATGAACAAAAAGCTGTGTGATACTCTATAAGACTTCTGTTGTTACTGAAGTTGCTGCTTACCTAAAAATGTTTATCAAAGTATACCAGGTAGTCAAGAAAAGGCAGCCAATGTACTGCATATTCTCTGGAAGAGGCATGAAAGAGACTCTAGGAGTCTTCATAGTTTGGGAAAATAAACATATTTAGGGAGAGGGAGGAGGAAAAAAAAAAAAGGAAAATCTTGGTTCTTAGAGAGTAAGACTGACGTGTTTAGCTTGGCTATGGAGCCATGCGTGATGGGCTTGTGGGGACTGGAGAAGAGTTCACAGGAGCTTACTGAATTGTAGTGGCACACTTGTGAGAATTATTTCTCAAAGGGAAGCAGGACTTCAAAAGAAATGCAGTTACTGCTGTGTCCTGTGATCCTTGCATACAAGCAAACAAAAGAAACAAAATGTCTCCTTGCTTTCTGTCCTTCCCCTCCTAACAGTAGTGAACTCCTGTTGATTTAAATAAAGAGGAAGTGTTTTGTTTTGTTTTCAAGAGTCATTAATTCCAGTAGCTGAGCCACCACTGGAACTAGTGCATTCTGACATTCAATAAACGACACTTACTTAGGTTCCCGACACCTGGTATTCTGTGCTTATGAATTGCTTCTCCTGAATGTTTGGAGCTTATAGGGCATCTATTAACTCTCCCATGTGAGGTGGCCAAGCCTAGCAGTTAGTAGTATTTCACTGGTGCAGGAAGAGCTTAGAGTAAGCAATATTTGTTTTTAAAACAGAAGACATATATCAACCTGAGTAAGCATACACACAATGCACTTGGGATCAAATGTCTGTACAGGTACTCTGAGGAGTGGAATAATACGTTAAACAGAGCTGGTTTTATTGTTTCAGACATAGCATTGTTTACTGTGCATCAGTAATTTGCTTCATGTTGTGTATTTTGGGACAGTAATATGTTTATTGCTTTTTCATTTAGCTTCAAGGTGTCTAGCATATTTGAACTAGGCACTGATTGACAATTAAATGTTAATAGTTTACATTCAGTTTATATCCTGGTCTTTAGTTATGCTATTAACATTCACATGGAGATAGAGTTACCCTTAGAAGGCTGCCACAACTTGTGTGTGTATAAACTGCAAACTAAATGACTACATGTGCCAAGTAAAACAGTGGCATTTCTGTGGACTGTAGGCCACAGCATAAGCTGAGGTTTATGTAGCAAGAGTATGGCTGCTACTTATTCGGGCACTCCGTGATCTCTTTACTGATCCTTGAAAGCAGATCTGGATGTCAGCTGCCTCTGTTGGTGGAATCTGAACGCTGCAGACAGTCACTATACAAAGGGGAACGCACTGGTCTTGTGTTGGATGTGTCCACGTTTGCAGTTTCCTAGACAGAAAAGTCCTGAATGAAAGTCCTTGCAGAGATGTAGCTTCAGTGACTCCTTGTAGCTGGTTTGTCTGAGAGTTCCTTCTAGTGTTACTTCCTGCAAGAAGGCTACAGGGCTCTCATTGGGATTGTGCCTGGGCTGGAGGATTGTGTCCCAACAAGAATGGGAATGCTAGTTACTTGCGTTTTAAAAAGCACAGTGCAGTGGGTTCAAACTGTTCCAATGTAGTAAGTGTCTTTAGGAACTTGTATCTAATATCAGCATCCAACCTTTGGATCTTGTTACGTCATTGCTTGTGAGATTGAAAAGCCCCCTCTCTCCCTCATGGTCTTTTTTGGATGTACAAATATCTGTATACAGCTGATCAAATTAAGTCTCAAATTGAACCTTGAAAGCCAAATAAGTTTCACAATAAGTTTTACAATCATGTGGTAATGTGGGTTTTCCAGCTCATATTTCTTCTTGTGACACTTCTTGGGAATGTTGCCAGTATTTGTTTTTTTTAAACCTTTAAATGTAGACAGCAGAAGTGGGTACGTTCTGACAGCTGCATTAAGTGTTGTGCAGAAGCAGGATCATTTTTTATTTCTGCTTCTGCTCCTTGCTTACTCTGTATGAGGAGTTAGCCCTTTCCACTACATTTTCACATAAGACTTCATGGTACAGTGTTACTTACCATGATTCCAAACCATCTCCTACCAACACAGAGGATAGACTGTGTGGTGCTGAACCATCCTGTCCCTGTTATGTGTCATCTTGAAACTTGTATTACAAACTACTCCTACTGCAGAACTGTTGTGCTAGTTGGTCTTGTACAACCTGTCTCCAGTACCAGGCAGCTGATGCAAAGGCAGATGTTAGTGAAAGACAGCAGTTGCTTCTGACCCCATCCCTGTGCTCACAGCCATCTGTGGCCACGTAGGGCCTGGGCTGGAGGAAGATGGGAAGATCAGTGGACAGGTGGTAGCACTGAGGCTTCTGTGTGAGCTGGCACTGTTTCTGCTAGGGTTTGGCAGTCTGGACTTGAAGGCAATTTCAGAGTTTGTTGAGATGCTCCCAGGGCCATTGTGCTCATGTGTCAACTGTGAAATCTAATCAGAACAGTGGCTTGGTTTTAAATTGATAGGAATTCTTTGGTAGAGTAATTTTACTGTTTTGCCTAGGACATGCATTAGGCTGTTTTGTTGTTCAGTCGGAATTTCTCAAGGAAATTCAAAGCAAATGGACCCTGGAGCAGCAGCTCTGCTGCTCCACACACTGGATATTGTTGTGCTTTTATATTCCTTCAAGCCATTATCCAAACTAAGGTCTATTCTTCCCTTTCAGGCACTTGGTCTTTAGGAACTGCAATTAGTATTACCTGCCTTTTCACATAAGAAGTAGTTGGGGAATGTACTTGGTTTTCTTCTGTTCTTCATTGATGTGGTTAAGACAATAAACCCTTGGTTGCAAGGAACTGCAATGGATTTGTTTTACATACCTGCTGGAGGCACCTAAGGAATGACACATAATGAAGGAAAGACTTAAATCAACAAACAAATCCCCAAACTCATCGGTTGTTTCTTTGGATTGTGTTCTGATACAGGTGGCTCAAATAGCAGTGCAAGCTTCTAAGCAAAAGAAAAGCATGGCTGTGGAAACTGGTTCTTGTAATTTTTTTAAAAGTGGGACTTCAACAAAAAACTGAAGGAGTACTCTCAGCCCTTCTGTGAAGCTTGCATTTCCGTTAGTGAGTGAAGAGGTCTGAAGAAACTGAAAAATCTGTCAGCATTATGCGTTACTGCATTAAAATTAAACTCGGAAAAAACAGTGACAAAATCTCTCTCATGTACGTTTTGCAGTTCTAGTGACCTAAGATGTTTCATGTCATTGAAATACAAAAATGAATTAGACTTCTGGAAAAGGCTGAGAATTTCAGGTCCTTCCAGTCAGAGAGGATGGTTGTAACTGCAGTCTTTATTTAACTAGAAAGACATCACTGATTCATGGATGTAATAAAAAGATACTAAAGGATCGGAGTGTCCTTTAAGGGAGTATCAAATTTAATCTGAACTGAGGTTCTGTGCTTGACACTTATAATGTATCTTAACTTGTGAAAAATTTCATCTTTAAATGAGAAGCTATTAATTAAGGGCTATTTTATTTATAGTTCTGCTTACTGAATAATTCCTCCAACACCAAAATCTCAGGGTTCTGAAACATTTTGGCTTGCTCCATTTGTTACTTAAGGGATATTTTAGAAGGCTTTAGTCATTGTTGCCACTAGCATAGATACTGGGCTAATTTAAGTTTATGTATGTGGATGATAAGCATGAATAACCTTTTGATTTCAGGTTGATACTCATATCCATGCTGCTGCTTGCATGAACCAGAAACACCTACTGAGGTTTATTAAGCACACGTATCAAATGGAGCCTGACAGGATTGTTGCAGAGAAAAAAGGCAGGAAGATGACTTTAAAGCAAGTCTTCGAAAGCCTTCACATGGACCCTTACGACCTCACTGTAGACTCTTTAGATGTCCATGCAGTAAGTCTATTAAAATGACAAAGTAAACAAGAAAAGGCTAAGTTTTCTGTGTGTGAAATTCTGGTTTTTACATTTTTGCATGATAATTTATTAAATGAGAATTTGAACTTGTGCATTACTAAACCATGATTATTTGGGTTTTTTCCTCCTTCAGGGTCGTCAGACATTTCATCGATTTGACAAATTCAATTCCAAGTACAATCCAGTTGGTGCCAGTGAGCTGAGGGACTTGTATTTGAAAACTGAGAACTACATTGGCGGTGAATATTTCGCTCGTATGGTCAAGGTAAGTATGTCTCAAGCTTTTCCAGCTGTAGAGAAATTAAGGTTTGTAAAAGATTTGTGATATCATAATTGTATCTAGAGCTAACACTATGGTTAAGTGATTCCAAGCATTGGCTTGCTCTAGCAATTCATCAGAGAAAGGCCTCTTCTAAGTCAGCCACTGCTGCTTTCTTAAGTAATTTTATGAGTTAGAAACTCATACACATAACCTGCATATGACTTCAAGGCAGAGCTGCGTGCAGTTTCAAACTAATGGAGAGCAGCCAAGGGTCAATTCACTGCCTTAATATTTTGTTAGGATGTGGTTGGCTAGTGGTAGCTGCTAGGGAAGGAAGAGCTAGGGAAGCACCTCTGCATAGATCTGTATCTGCACGTGCATGCACAGGCTTCATATGAATTTCTTACAACAAAAGGATTAGTAGTTTTTACGAACTAGATGTCAGCTCTTCTGAGATGTATAGATGTGCTTGTCTAAAATTAATAGCCTTGTCAGTGCTTACTGCCACAGATTCTGGGTCAGATTCTCCATTGGTCTGCATATTTTATGTAGTCATTTATTACAGTTTAAATAGTTTAAAATTCTGATTTACCAGTTTTAAACATATGTCTTACACAGGTGTTAGTAATAACTGCACAAGAATATTGTCCTCTAAATCTAGGTGTTACAATTACTTATACTCAAATGATATCTGAGATAGCTTGCTAGTAGAAAGTTTAGATGCCTAAAAATAAAATAATAGATGAATAGACAAGGGTTTCCCTTTCTCTTTAAAGGGTCACAATACAGTTATGTGTAGTTTGAGAAAAATACAATTATAAATATACTACTAGCTGTAAATGATCTTTAGTGTCCATATTAAAGCAAATATATTTATTACTTAATAGGAAGTAGCCCGTGAACTAGAAGAAAGTAAGTACCAGTATACAGAACCCCGCTTATCCATTTATGGACGGTCTCCAGATGAATGGCTGAACTTGGCAAAATGGTTCATTAAGCATAAAGTTTATTCCCCTAATATGCGCTGGATAATTCAGGTTCCCAGAATCTAGTAAGTAATCAGGAGCTCTTGGTAATTTTAACAGTTTGAAATCATACCAATGATTTGTTTTAATTTCTGGTAATTTTAGATGGTTTATGAGCTGTCCTATGGTTCTATTTATAAGCAACAGCCTGGAAAACTGATTGACCATTGACCACATTTATCTTGACCGTTGCTGCAGTTTTCCTGACAGTCTGGGGGTGGAAGACAGGAGATGGGGTTTGAATCTACTCTTTATGAAGCTGTTAAAAACTGCTGTGAATTATTTGCAAGTCTGAAGATACTAAAACCAAAAATTACAACTGGCTGAAATTAAGCTGCATTCAAAGACAAGTTAAAATACAATTTAGTAATGAAAATAAATCAACTCTTGAATTCCATAAAGGAGTAAGAAATTCTCTGTAAAACTGTTACCACCAACTGTCCTCAAGATCAGTGACTAAATGACAGTGAACGTGGAAACACAACCCAGATCGCTGATATGCATGCTTAAATCAGTATCAGTTTTTCTTAATTTTTAAGCATCCTTTGGGGACTTTATTAAATGATTCTTTGTTTTTAATGCTGTATATTGTAATACCGTTTCTCATGGTAATTTGGTCAGCCTTAATAGCTGAGCTTCTTGTTTTGAAATGGCATAGTCGGAATATGAGTAGAGAAAGAGCTGTCATGGTCGCGTTTATCCCCCAGAGTGTGTTCTCATTAGGGAGAAAGTTAATTTCTTACATAGCCATTTCTTACATACATAGTGGAGTCAACACTTGCATTAAGTCATGCACTTAATGACACCCTGAAGTATTGTCCCTCAGCTCACTGAAGCAAAATTCTAGAAATTCTAAAAAAGAAAATTCTACTTTTATTTGGAGTAGTTACAGCTTTCAAAACCAGGATCTTTCATGAGAGGTAATTCCTATTAGTACTTGGATTGCTGTAAGGGAAAGGGTCACTGTTCTTGAGACAGCATCTACCCCTGCATACTGTCTCTATTTTTGGAGCACTCGGGAGCTTCAGCAGAGCCTGGATGAAGCAGAGTGCCAGGCAGTGCAGGAAACTGAGCACAGAGACAATCCTTGCCCTGACATAAACTTTGCATTTCTGAATCCTGGTAGAACAGAAGCTGTAGAGTATACACAAATAACAGAAAACATCAAAGTGGAGGGAAAATGTAAGCTGATTAAAGAATGATCACAACTGTGTATATTTTTTTCCCTCCAGTGACATATTTAGGTCAAAAAACATTCTGCCTAGTTTTGGGAAGATGCTGGAGAACATCTTTGTACCTCTCTTTGAAGCAACAATCAATCCCAAAGACCACAGAGAATTGCACCTTTTCCTCAAATATGTAAGTATGTTTGGATTTTCTGTCTCACATGAAATGGATCCTCTCCTAGTCATAAATTTTGTTTGCCCACAGCTGTTGCCAGACACTAAAAAGCTTCCTCCTCCATAGGTTACTTGTATTATTGTTTTAAAGCCCTGACATACAATCTAAAAAAAGCCTAGGTAAGGTCCTGCTGTCAAATAGTTGCTGTTTATTTCCTCTGAAATAGCTGCACTGCTGTTTTTTTGTCCTCTCACTAATCCTCTATAAAGAATGACCAAAAAATGTTTGCATGCTCTTGTGCAGAGTGAACCTTGTAATCCAGGATGTGTACTTTGAGCTTGCCTCTGGGACTGGCCTCCCAAAGGGAGGCAACTGAAAGGAAGTGTTGTGTAGATCCTGTTGGGACTTAGGAGAGAGGTGGGGATGTAGCTGCTGGGACATGATTAAGAGACACATTTCTGAGTATGCCTCAAATCAGAACGCTGAGGTTTCCTGAGAGCCTCTGGCCTTCAGCTGCTTTTCAAATAACAAAGCAGATGAGTGTAAAGGATTATAATCTGGATCTGAGGGAGTCGTACAGGCCTGTGCGCCCCACAGAAGTCTGAAAGCTTTTGTACATCGGGGCCTCCCACTTGTCTCAGAAGAAAGAAATGTGTGAGACTTCCTTCGAGAAAGCACATTATTCC